GGGGGCTAAGCGGCTAAGCCTGTACCAATGAATAAACAACACAAACACATCAAAACAGCTTAATCTCCGAGAATCTTGAACCGCCTTGGCACGTCTGATCTCGATGCGCCACAGGGGCGCGAATCATCCGATCCGCCCAGGCGCGAATGCTGCGTCGTTTCAGTGAGGAATTCATCGAAGTCGGGAGCCCTCAAAGGCATTTGGGCTGCTGGGCTGTTGCAGGCGGTCCAAGCTGAGCAAGCATTTCAGGCCGAGAATCCTGGTTTTGTGAGGTTTCAATCAGCCCCTCTTCAGATGTAAGATGTTGTTTGTGTTTGTCCAAGAGAGCAGGTTTGCGGGATGATGTTCAAAGATTGGACGGATGGAACCCGTATCAAGAAAGTGACAGCAAAAGGGAGTCTGAAATGGTATATGCTCTTATATACGTAATCCGGCTGTATTTTGCTCACGTCAGCAGAACGGGGTTTCTCTTGCCCAGATTTGACTCGCACTCACGCCTCCTGGCAGTTGGACAAAAGGATAAGGCAAAAGAGGCAGTTGGACAGCATGGAATTGCAGGATTTCGACCAGGAACGCTTTCTTACGTAGGGGTTTCCTCGGTCCCGAGGCTGCAGAGTCCGCCCAGGGTGAGAAGATTCCCCTGGATCAGGTGCAGAGGCGGGGTTGAGCGGGGAGTCTTTAGCTCGGGCCAAAGCTCGGGTGATTGGAGTTGAATTAGAGACGATTGGCATTGTATGGTACCATTGGCCCAATGTACAAACCATCATGGATCCGCTACAGTGCTATATTCAGCGTTGCAATCTTGGGAGAGACCCTCAGGGTTGCTTGAGTTTGTTTGTGCGGAAGTGTCCTTTACAAATCAAGCATGGAAATGATATGAACAGATTGTACTGATTGAACAAAATGCTATTTGGATCTATTTGGTTCCTTTTGATCATTCGTCCAAAAGCCTGACGAGCTTCTCCTTGCCAAAACCTGAGGAGCTTGGTATCCGGAGATTATTATTATATATGTTGTTACCTTTTGTAGTAATTATATGTGTTTCCTTTCAGAGAATCAGAGAATCAAGACCTTTCCTCCAAGTCAGATCCACAACACTTTTGGGACGCATCTGTAGCAGGAGACTCCCCCCCGTTAGAGGCGCTAGCTAGCTGAGAACGCATGACGGCTGCCGCCCTGCGAACGCCCAGGTTCCATGGAGTTGGCCTCTGGGCTGCAGATAGCAGCAGTGGATCGACCTGGAACGGATGACCTGGTTCTTCTCTTTCGAAGGGTCATATATGAGTCATATGGAATGGCTAGAACACGGAATCCCACCTTCTTTGGTGTTCTAGCCATGGTCATCCGAACACGGTCGACGCACTGGGGATGTTCATTTGGATTCCACCGAATTTGTCCGATAACGGAGCCCGGCCCCGGCAGGAAAGTACGCCAGCGACGCCTACGAGATCTTCGTCCTGCGACGGGTGTCCAGGGTGCAGCCCACGGATGCGTACTTGCGTTGGCCGCTTGGGCTGGATTTCGATGAGTTGCAGAGATTGATGAAGGCCGGAATAGGCTGGATGGATGGTTTGATCACTGATTTCTTGATCATTCTTGGATTTTGGAGGTGAAAGGAGGCATTCAGACTCAGACTGTCCTTTTGCATAGTGCCAAGGGTTTGCCCCAGATTCTCGATCGTTTGTCCAAGGTACTTGGAGGCTGCACTGAATACCGTGGAGGGGAATGACCTAGATGCCGCCTACCAGGACCTTTGGTCGAAAAATGGCGCCCAAAGTGTGAGAGGCATCAGCAAACCTCAGCTGGATTGCAGGGATGGGAAGGATCTAAAGGGCAGTATTGTCATGGGCTGATGGTGACTGGAGTCACTCCTGCACTCCCTACAAGGTCGAGGGTCTACTTGAGGTCTGTGTGGCCACAAGGTGTTGCCTTCGCAAGATCAGAGACCTGTGCAGAGAGGTCAGACACTCATGCACGGCCGTGGCATCCCAAAACCCGCAGTTTTTGGATCAAGGGATCAGTTTTGTGGGCGGTTGACAGCCATGAGTTGTTGCAGCTGCTTTACCGGTCACGGCACCGAGAAGCAAACGGATGAGACTGTTGGTCATTGTCCAATGAACATGGGTGAGATGTCGATCGTTGGACCATGTTGGACCGTTCGTTCCGAGGCCTTTTTGGCCAAGGCCAGTCGCTGCGACCCGATAGTCGGGGACGAAGAAACCGCAAGCTGAGTGATGCTGAGTGGAGGATATGAGACTTGGATGGCCAAGACCGAGCCATCCAATAGCGACATAGCGAGTGTCTTTAGAAACGCCTTCAACTAAATACAAGAGACAACAAGCAATCTTCAAAAGCGTCATGATCTGTCGGATTTTTTGGCATGTTCTGTTTTGGTGCCCTTTTCGCCATTGCCGTGAGCACCGACACTGAGGTTCCCCTCAAAAGAGGCCTTTGGTGACCGATTACACAGAGGCAGACCGGCGGAGCCGCGGCACAGCCGTGCAGCCTGCGGACTGCTTGGATGGGGTGCCAGCTCCCGCTGCCCCCATTTTTGAAGCGGTTGCTGTTCTTTTTTGCCACAGTCCTGGATGAGATTCACAATGGTTTTGGCACACTTGGTGGCGTCTCACAAGGAGGTATCCAATTGAATTTGCCCATTACGCCGCAACCTCATGGTACCTCACGTATACTCATTGATCCTGTAGCAAGCCCCGCAGCCAGAAACAAGTCATGCCTCTAGCCGCCTTTTGAAAAGAGATCACATTTGGATGGTCTTCAGACCTGCTATAGATGGTTTGCAGATGTGGATGGAATTACTGTACCTGTTAATTTGACTTCCCGGCAGCCTCACATTCTTTGTTTACCAACTATGGTCTTTGGATGTCTTTGGATAGCATCACTATTCGGGGACCAACGCACAAGCTTTACTGCCTGATTCCTGTACATGCTTCTAGGATCTTCTAGGTACTTGTACAGGTATGTTTCTTAGTTGCTCCCTGGCCCTGTTGGGAGCAATTAGCTTGACCAATTGGTCGGCGAAGACAAGATCCTCCCATACCCATAATCTGACCTGTGAAGACCAACCACATCATAGAACTCCTGGGATCCTGTGTGATTTGCGAGGGTCTTTTTTTCATCGCAGAACATGTCTGCTTGGTGAATAGGGTATTCCACCTCTGGGGTCGCCCCCGGATAGCTGAAAACCGGTTGATCTCGAGAAGGTTGATCTTAGACGTTGATCTCAAGAAGGCTGAATCTGACATAATCCTTTCAGGGTTTACATGGATTTACTTTCATGTGGTTTGCCTTTGGTTAAACATTTCTCAGAATCGATAGCCGACAGCGGAGTTTCCCTTCAGCAGCAGTTCTTGAGTTCCTCAGAGTTGGCTGCTCAAGATGGCAGCTCATGAAAGAAACAGGTCGACTCAGGTCGACTGTCTACTTTGCAGAATCTCAAGGGAAATTCCACTGGTTCCAGTGCACACAAGAACTTTGGAGGCTCCGGTCGAGATCTTGCAAGCTTGTCAGATAGTTAGGGCATGCTACAAGTTGAAGGTCGTTCGGCTGATTCGCCATCCAGTGTGCCCCCCTCTGTTCCCAGTTGCAACCTAACTCGGGTGTTGATGCGGCCTTTGTAACGGAACGCCACGTTTTCCTGTCGTTGTTCCTGTTCGAAGTGATCAACGAGGCAATGAAATTGGAGAGGCCCAAGTTGGGCTCCTGGGAGCGCCTTGGCCCAGAGAGGGGGACCGGTCGCACCGATGGGGGTGCTCGCTTGCGAAGGAGAACATGGGAAAAGCTAGCTTGTTTTAGGGTAAGCATCTAGATGTGTCCATTGTCAGCATCACTGTTGCACCCCAGCAAAACGGGGAAGCCCACATCAAGATCCATTTAGATGTTGTTTTCAGAAATTAACATCATTATGTGAATTTATGGACACTATTGTTGGGAGGACCAGAGGACTTTCCATTACAGCAAACTTTTAGTTTGTAATGCTCAAAGGGGTGGTGCATGTCATGTTTTTTAGGGTCATCCTGCCTGCGTTTCTGTCGCTGGCTCGTGCTCCGCAACAGGGCCCCGGCTTCGACGGGGACTTCCTTCGACTGGGCAAGGGCGCCAAGTCTGAGGATGTTCAAGGTAAGAAGTGAGGGAATGCCTCAAACGGGGGCGCCGAATCATGAGAATCCTAGGCCAAAGGAACCATGCCATGTACGACCCATTCTCAACATGTGTCGCACGTGTTGACTACCGGAGTTGACCCATTCTCCCATGCAACTCACTGGGCTTGTGTTTCTGCCTATTGTCTTCTTGGCCCGGTTCATGACGGTGCAGAGGCCTCCCCCATTCCCCGGCGGCGTCCTTCGGCGCTGACCGCCGTGCGGGGCCTCAGCTCGGGTGGACCGAGGCAGTGGACCGCCCCGTCGGTGGTGACCGGGTGGGTTTGAGCAACACCTGCTGCGTTGGCTCAGGGAGGCCATGCTAGGGCGGGTGGAGTCTTGTTGGAAGACCACATCCCTGTTCGGGCTCCATGGTTGCGTTTTTTTGTCGGGCGTCCATGTGACACGTTGGGTCGTCATTTGGATATTTGTGGCTTTGACCCATGGCCACATCTACGTAGGAGTTTTCGAGGAGCGATTTCACTCAAAAGGATTGAGGTAAGCCGCCAGGGCCTTTCATCTCCTTTCAGATTGGAACATTTGGCCATGAAGGTTCTTGGGGTATGCAAACTCTTCATGCAAGATGCTGTGGGCGATCCAAACTAGTCTGATGTCATAGAAGTACAGAGTTTGCAAAGAATGCCCTTCAAACAAAGTACAATTGCAAGTATTTAAGAACCGACAGGCTTGCGGGTACTTGGTATAAATGGCTGACTGTGAAGTCACGTGAAGTCAACATATAGATTACTACATTGGCACAGACAATGTGACAATCACAGTGAACAATGAACAACCACAAATCCTTGGTGGTAGAAGAGCCGCTACAGTTGCAGGGCCCTGTTGATTCAACTTCCTGCAAATCAGGATAAATCAGGTATTTGGACCACAAATCCCCCTTGGACCACCGTGCACCTATCCCAAAAACATCAATCCAAGAACTGAGGTACTTATTGTGTCAACTTTGCTTGCATTAGACGTCAAAAAATGTGTTGCGTCCGGTTGACATTCTGAAAGCATGTTTTTTGCCAGCCTGTATATTGCACCAACATCCACAAAGCAAACATGTTGAATCTATCGCAGTACTGTAGTATCGGATGCAAGCATGAGAATGGGGACCCTCTTGGATTTGTGTGCTCGTCGCACACAACGATGTCCTCGTCGCAGACCGTCATTGGTTTCGAGGACAACGGGCCGGTGGATTTCGACATCGTCATTGATATCGATGAACGTTGGCTCCTCGAGGGGGAGCCGTGGCAGGGAGCTGTGCGATCGATTTGCTCGACCGAGTGGTGATCGGTTCGGTGATCGGTTGCGAAAAAAGAGTGTCCAATCCAATGAATGAGATGCGTTTGTTCGAAGGGTTATTTACCCAAATCTGAAGCCATGAGATGATCCAAAGATAGTCAGACCTAACCAATTGCCAATTCGGATGTCGATAATTTTCGGGAGGGGGGGTGGACTGGGCTACTTCCAAGTCCGTTGACGTCTCCATGCTACCTTTTGTTAGGTGTGCAGTGTGCAATGGGTGATTTTGGCCAAGCTGAGCTCTCCGTCCGTTACATGCTTCTCATTCTAATGACGGCATCGGTGGCCTCAAAGCGGAGATGAAAGTCAAGTCCTTTTTAAAGATCAATGTACTGGACTCCATTTCTATTTGGGAGCCACTTCTGTGCCTCTTGATACTAAGTAGTACTGTACTCCTGGACGAAGTAGATCAAGGACATTGGCATTCATTAAATCAAGGTATAGTACTGCAATGTACTGCATGTACTACCCTAAGCCCTAAGCATTCCGCCAACAAACACAGAGGCCTTCAAGGCTACAAAACTATAGCTATATATACACTTTTGTACCAAGATTTACTTAAGCACTTTGGATGCCTAGTCAGAGGCTTTCTTAGGGCAAGTATCAAACTTAGTACGCCACATGGTAAACTCTTTGAGCCATTTCCTGCATCTCCTTCCGGGAAAAATCTCTCAAAACGCTGAATCATTCGATTCTCCCATGCTCGCCAGCTCAAAAAGCTGGTCAAGCAGCGCCTCGCCGGGGCTCCCGAGTTCCGACAGGTGTGTGGTCAGTCATGTGGAAGAGCCAGTCATATGATATAGCCATATTATATCCAGTCATGTGGTCTAATATGGCTATACATTATCATTATATATACACAGTATGATATGACAGTACACCATTCTGCCTTTAGCCGACATCATGATATATCATTGGCTTATACCGTCTACCGTACATGTTGGATTGAAGTATACGTCTCATAATGGCTCGTGACACCGGCAGGTTGGTTAAAGAGAATGGCTTCCCAGTGCCCTCCGCATCGCTTTGTAGACCTTGGTCCCGCGCTTGTCTCACTTCTGTTAACGGTACGCGCTTTTGGAGGGTATCTTGAGGGCAGTACAACTGCAAAGAGGAACGGAGGAACCCTTTGTACACCATGTGCATGAGTCTCACCCATCGGCCATCATTCATCAGCCCGGTTGACGAGGTCTTCAAACGATTGACACTGATATTCCAAGCAGTTTGGGCCTCGGACGACGAGCAGTGCCGCAGCAGTGCCGCTTCGAACAGATATGAACAGATTAGCGCGGTGTCGTAGATCTGTTGCCTTACAGGGCAACTTGTTTGGTTCGATCCTGTATATCGCATCATCTCAATCCTCACATGTATTCATGAGAGGCTTGTGTGAACCGCGCACTTTTGTGTTTGAAGGATGTGCATTGCTGAGTATCATTGCTGCATTTAACTATGAACGTGCTGTTTGTTTGCAGATCGTGTTGGCATCACTGACCGAAAACGAAGCAGGCGCGGTCATTCCTCTCGTCCGGGGGTGGCCTGTGTGGATCATATGTTGCCCATGTCAATGACCCCAGATTTTTCTGGCAGAAGCAGCCCATTCAGCATTGAGACTTTCGCGCACCAGTGCTGAGCAGTGCTGAGCAGTGCTTCAGTGCGATCCCCCTCCCTGTCTATCGCCAATAATTGTTTTTGCTCGGTTTGCTGAGCCGTTTCCACGGAATGCGCCGTTGGCTGGTGCAGGTTTGAGGCTGAAATGCTCTTGGCCTCGCCCGGGAGATTGCCTCCTCCACTCTCAGCAGATGCCAGAGAGGTTCGATCGCAGACGGAGAGGTTCGATCGTTGGGTTTGAGGAGATGAAAACGAACTGGAAAGCCCAACACCGTCCTCCATATCGTCGTTACCAGGTATATATTGACGTGAGATAGGAAAGCAAATTCAGTTTTTCTGTGTTATGTTTATGATTTCCACTTTTAGGATGTTTTAGGTATTGAGATGTAATGAGGAAGCTATTGCCACATTGGACCTTGGACACAAGTCCTTGAATTCTCGACATAGGACTGTCCCCACAACAGGCAAAGTCATTTCTATGCCTTCGTTCGCTCGTGGTTGCTCGTTGGTGTCATGACCATCAAGTGATGACCAGCGGGTGTTTTGCTGTTTTAGGAGGCGATCCGGACACTTTTCCCCACCGCCACCTTCCAGATGCTGGCGAAGGCACCGACGACGTGCTACGCTTCGGAGCGAAAAAAACACCAGTCCTGCACCACCGGCAGAGCCATTCCCCAAAGCATGGTACAGGATGCAAATAGAAAAGGATGCACGATGACGCATATATATATATATATACATATAATGGACATTATATAAATCTATATAGTACAATAGACATATAATAGACTACAATGCAATAGCTTCTATTTCAGGCGTTAGTAGAATGTCCTCCAGGAGGGATAGGATGGGGGAAGGATCGTTTTATTCGGAGACCTATCTTCCACGATCTGTTGCAGGTGCCCAAGACGCTCTTGACGCAGGCCAACGATTCGGCCAAACAGCTGCGAAGGCCGGCGACAGAGATGTCTCTTGGATTGAAGAGACAAACATCGACGATGTAGGTCTGCTGAGTTTGCTGGATCATTCCAACAGATGAACGCTGGCTTTTTCCAACAGGCTGGTTATGGGATGATATGGGAAAATGCCTTCCGGTTAGGGAAAGAGCATAGGACAATCTTGGGCCCAATCTGCCAATCTACTTGTTGTTCCGCTCTAATGTCGCACGAACACGGAGGCAACTCATGCGGGGTGCCGTCGTGGTCTTCGTCACTGCGGGCCTCCCCGGAAAGAAGCGCGGCACTCGAAGTACCGCCCGGATGTTTGGCGCGGTGGTGCAAGCGTTCGATATGAACGACCAATGGTGCGAACGGTGCAGAGCAGGAGCGTCCACACTGTAGTCAATATAGATGTCACTAGCAACAGCGAATAGATTCAATGCGATTCAATAGATGCATGCACGAAGCCATAACATATCGAGAATGCATTGACTTGTACGTAAATGGAGGAGCTGAATGTAGAGCTCATGCAAGTTCATTCAGCTGCCCAAATAGATGCATCATGATGCATCCAAAAAACACTCTCAGCAGAGGACAGTTAAACTACTGTAATATTTTTAGCATGTCAAAAGTTATCTTGCAAAGAGGGCAAAGATGCTGTGAATGTTGGAGATGTAAGTCTCAAGTCACATCAATGTGTCAATCATCCAGAGCCTCTACAGCAACGGATCACCGCATATATAAGGATCATAAGGTCCGACTAAATCGCAGAGTGAATCTCTGCATTCTATCAAATTGCTGAGATTCACTTTTGAGATTGCCGCATCATTGGGCGTCCGGAAGCTCAGCTGGTGTGGCTTTGAGATCGACAGAGACAATCGAGATCGACAGTTGCGGAAGGAGATGGAAGGAACGAGGCCAACAATCGCGCTTCGAAGACACTGGCATTGACCCCACCTCGCCACTGGCAGCCCGGAAAAACGCGTTTGTGTTTCGCCCTCGCCCCGCGGTCCGACACCTTTCCACGGTCCATCCGTGGGACGTGCCGAAGGGTGCGAGTCGCTGGGCACCGAGGTAAAGCCTGTGATCTTAGAACATCCAGACTCTTGGAGTAGGACTGGGTCTGCCGGTCCGGACCTGGTGCCGGTCGGGTGGTCGGGAATTTCAACGGGGTGGACACAGAGGTTTTTGAGGTCGTTGGGTGGTTCAGTCAAAATGGGGGGTCTGGCTGTTGAGTCTTGGAACTTTGGAAATTTGGTGCATTGGAGCTTTGATGAGTTTAGTCTCTTTCTTTGGGTGCCAATTTTGGTTTGCTTCCAGAAGGATTACAACCTTCCAGAGTGGATGACCTTCAACTTGTAGCCACTGGCGTCATTGGAAAATGCAAGAACACATGTTGATAAAGGGTCCCTCTTGGTGACAAACCCATGCTCATGCTCATTCTCAGTAAAAAGATATATATATATA